AAAAAGCCGGCCGGCCGGGTCTATTTAAAAGTTTCATGTTATGAAAACCAAGTAATTAAATTTGTATGGCCTTATAGATAACATATCTGAGATATATGGATTACCTGGAATTCATGAATGTATTAACGGGCAACGGCCTTTAAGACTAGTAATTGATATTGACACATCTAAAGAAAAAATGGAAGCTGAAAATGTTAATACTAAAAATGTGTTTTTTAGTATTTGTTGTTTATTTGTAAGAGCATTGTATCGAATTCTTGATTGTAGTTAGGAAGAAATTATTAAAGAATTAGTAATTATGACATCATCTAATGATAATAAATACAGTTATCACCTTCTATATGCCCCAGCTCTTCTTGTTGATTATCTAAAGCTAAAAGAATTTACAGAATTAGTATTCAGATTAACTGGAAAAAAATATAAAAAGTTTATTGATTGAGGATTACCTGGTAGAAATTTCTGTCTCCGCTTAATTGGTTCAGCAAAAAAAGATCGCGTGAAGCACATACTTCAATTCTCACTAGATAATAGGTGATACAATCTTAATGACAGCCGAGTTCAACCACCAATTAATATAAATTTAGAAGTATACCCTCGTATACTTAGTGTAGAGAAAATAAATCAGAAAAAAATAATTGTTGGTCAAGATTCACTAAAAAAATATGCTAATCTAGTTCTGCAAGAATATTCTGATTATCTTGGAGGGTGGGATATCAAAGAAAAAAATTCTCAGTATTTCATATACTTTAATCAGAAAGCATATCTAGAATATCTGATTTGTGAATGCATACATAACAAGAATTAGTGGTGGTTCGGTCACGCGCATTATGATGGTTCATTCATTGTGAAATGCTTCTAGCAAAATCGTGAGAAATCAGGGAAAATTTTCAATGATCCATCTATTGTAAAAAAAATTTAGCAAAAAAATAAAAATAAAGTTCCTCTACCCATTTCTCATAAAATAAAGGGCCCTAAGTTCCCAAAACTCTTTTTAGAAATGCCAAGTTGGGTTAAATACAATGAACCCCTTACCGCATCAGAAAGATATGAAGAAATATATGTGAAACCTTTATCTAAAGAAAACGATATTTATATAGGTACGCGTTGGGGAACAGGAAAAACATATGCTATAGAAAATTTAAATATTTCAGAAAATACAAGCTTACTTGTAGTATCGACTCAACACACATATTCGGATGCTATTACTACCAGGCTCAATCTCAAATCATATTGTGATATCGATAGATCTATAAATTTGAGAGAGCATCAAAGAGTAGTATGTCAGGTGGAAAGTTTATATCGCATTACTAATAAATATAAATGTGATAAAAAATGTAGGTCTTTAGACCATGCTTCATATAAATGTCTTCCAAATCCTTACATTCTAGTATTAGATGAGATTGTATCAATTATCTCGCAAACACAAACTCATTTAAGTGGGTTGTTTATATCTCTTGCCAATTTCTTAGAATTAATTACTCAGGCAGAAAGAGTTATTGTACTAGATAATGATCTCACTAACCTTAATATTGAATGGATTAAAGGACTTCGACCAAATAGGAAATATTCAGTTATCCACAACACATATCAGCCCCAAAAAAGTAAAACATTCCGTCTAGCTTCTGATAAAGAAACTGTATTGATAGAACTCTGGAGATGGGCAAAGCAAATGACATCATTACCTTTTGAAAAGCAAAAAAGTGCATCTCTTATCTGTCATGAGAGAAGAAATATTCAGGGTATTGTTTAGGTTCTTAGAGCTGATTTCCCAGAATTGCATATAAAAGAGTATTATGGTAAGTCAGACCCAATAGAGAAAACTCGAGATTTTAGAGATGTAGATAATGCATGGAAAAATATTGATTTTGTTGCATATACTAGTACATTAAAGATAGGGGTTTCTTGCATCAATCCTAAGTTTGAGCGAGCATTCTGTATCTTCAGTAGTTATATAGAAACAAATGCTAGGACAAATCAAATGTTATTCCGCATGCGATGCATTAAAGATTATATATGTTATATTCAACAAAGAGCATCTAAAGCCCCAACTACAGAAGAGAAGTTGTTTTAATGGTTAACAGAAGCAAAACGTGGATATCTTCCTCAAGAGCTTCAGAATAGAGGAATATTTCCAAATATAGATACTATTATTCGAAATAAAGATGTCCCAACTATTCGATTATGGGTGGCATATATATTGGAAAAATTTCGCTTTCAATGTCTATTTGGTTGGAGAATGGTTTATTTTCTCCAAAAGGCAAGTATGGTAGTTTTAGTAATAGAACCAACTCCCAAACCTGAAGATAATACTGTGTTATTAACTGAAACAGTAAAGGAATGTTCTTCGGTTATTAAAGCAGAGGAAATTTCAGACCTTGCAAATGCAAATATTATTAACCGTGAAACAGCTAAGCATCTAGAAAATAAACCAAAAAAAACTTTAGAAGAAATGTGAGCATTAGACCAGCACCATATTGTAAATTGCTATAATATAGCACCTGAGTCTTTGACTAAAGAATTTATCTCAGAGTTTGGAAATTATAATCATATGTGCTGGTTTAGAGCTTTTCAGAAATTACGAGATGCAGGCACTAATAATGAGACAGCAGTTGAAGCAATTACCTGTGAAGATTATAGAAATGATAGGCTCACAACTGTTACTAGAGCTGAAAAACATCGAATTTGTCTTGGATTATTAAAAATTTGTACACCCGTTAAAGATATCAATGATAGAAATAAATATAAAACTGATATTGTTAAAACACGGTTAAAATCACTTGAATCTATAAAATATCTTCAAGAATTAGTTCCTAAAATGGCTCAGGTTTTTGATAATACAGATTTATTCTGACGCGCCAAAAAATCCAGATTAAAAACTCTTAAAGCAAAACTTGGTTTATTAAATTTAGCACTTTATGCAACTTACGGTTTGAAGCTCAAAGGTACAAATAACAAGCATACATATTATCATCTAGTTGGAAAATTTGATAGTATACATGCCTATGCATATACACCCGAGTTGCCACCATACCAGACAGGTAAAGATTGGGATAATGGTGAAGATTGGCGATATGGGTATAGTAAACTCTCGCCTGATAAAATAGAAACTTCTCCCAATTCTATCTCACAGGATATTCAGAACCTATTTGATATCTGTTAATGTATATATCTATTTAGTAATGGTCTGTGATATATTTTACAAAGGGGGTTTTTGTGATGCTTAAAATTGATACTTGTAAAAAAAAATCCATTACGAAGACCATTTTTGTGACGCTTAAAATTGATACTTGTAAAAAAAATCCATTACGAAGACCATTTTTGTAACACTTAAAATTGATATCTATAGTTATATAGTGCCTACCTTTGGCAAAAGTAAGTATAATTACGCATCAGCTTCTATTCTCAGCGCCTTTTGTTTCTCATACCAATTTCGAAAATAAACCCTCTTTGCGTGCTTAGAACAATATCCCATCCCAGAAATTGTTAGTTTTCTACAAATCCTACAAGGAAATTTTGCTATATTTGTATCATATAATTTCTAGTGCAATGAACACCCTATACCCTGCCAACAACCTTTTTCACAAATCGAACCATCTCTTTTAACATATGGACAGGTTAAACACCCCAAACTATCTTTTTTAACGTATTGATCAGTTAAACATCTCATTCAAAGTGTTTTAATGTATAACATATAAAACCCGCAAATATATTTAATATAAAACCAATTTAAATCTTTTCAGGTTATAATAATATATTATGTGTTGGAGATACTATTCGAAGTATTGCTTATAACCTCTCATATTCTATAAAACTCTGTATAAATACTAACATATTTTTTACTCACATTTTCATGTATAGTATATAAAAATCAATTTAAACTTTTCCAAATTATTTTGTAATATTATAATCGAACATATATTAACACTATATACCACACCAATACTATACAAAAATGTATACTAAAGAGCCAGAATACAACAAAGAAACGATTACTGCTGAGCAATTATCAAAATTGACTAATCATTGGAGAAAGCCAAAAATTTATAATCCCAAAACGAATCACATGATTACAATCGATGGACCAACATATAATAAATTAATACGTGATGGATATGTGCATTGGGAAAAGGTCTTGATTCCTCTATCACCATTCGAGAATTATATTAAAAAATAAAACATAATAATAAACTGATATATTATATAGCCTGAGTAGCCACAACTCGAAGCTATAAATTTTTTTCGTTATATTCTATATATTAGTAAATTTCAAATCGATATTCTACTTACTCTATAGGAATACATAATCTTTTTTTTCTAGATATAGGAGGAAAAAGTATAATTAATTTCGAATTAAAAAAAATAAGTAGATTAATGTATAATCACATTCTACTTATCGATATAGATTATTTACATATCTATTATGACAACTGTCCAAAAAACTAGAAAACCCAAAACTAATAGCTTTACCTCCATTTTGGATCAGGTCCTCAATAAATATAACCTATCGGCTAAATCAAACCTGCTTCAATTACGTGCTCATGCCGACGAGCTTAGTACTATGCTACCGGATTGGAAGGCTTGTAAAGATATGAAAGAGGCTCTCTGTTGGCGCTTATTCAAAGAAAATCAAATAGGAGCTCTGGTTCCAAACAACAAAAAGAAGAGGCTTACTATCAAGAAAAGAGCTCAATATTGTGCAAAAACTAAAGATGTGTGGGATATTTGGTTACATGCTTTAGA